GACCACAGAGAGGCAGGACCTCAGTTTTATGTCTCATCTGAAGGACGGTGCCTTGTTTACAGTCTAGTGTCCCCGTCACTATACTGGGGCATTAGGACCCACACAGACCGCAGGGTGAGCGCCCCCTGCTGGCGCCACTAACACCTCTCCCAGCAGCAGCCTTAGCTTTCCCAGGACTCTCCCATCCAGGGACTGGCCAGGCTCACGCCTGCTGAGCTCCAGTGAGGTACAGGGTGGCCCAGCTGCTGGCTTGGCCTGACGCGCCTCCCATCTGTGAGCAGCTGCCGGGGCTGATTTGGGAAGAGGCCTATCTCTGCCCGTACTGACACCTGCGTAGCATTGATGACCAGCACCGGCGGCTCACGCGTCCGGCGTGGCGCCCTTGCCTCGGAATAATCCCCTGGCTGCTCGGAACAGCACGTCGAGCGTGTCCGTCAGCTTCCCTGGGGACGATGTCGGTGAGCTCGCTGTGAGACCCAGTGCAATGGAGCTGCTGGTTCCCACCCCACGGTCTGCATTTCATCCCTTCTCCATGGCGCCCTCTGGTGGCGAGCAGTCACGTGCCCTGTGGGAGCCGCCCGTTGCCTTAGCCGGGTGACCAGTCTCTGAGTCGGTGTACTGCGCGGGCTGTTGATCGTTCTGTTCGGGTATCTGGCCGTGGCGGCCGGTGCTGGGCGGGTTGTGGATCAATAGAGATCGCCGTGGATGGGCAGCAGCGCGCCGCATCGGGGTATTGATGGGTGCTGGTGTGTCCCCCTCAGCCCAGCGCTCCGCGCAGGAGCTGCCCGTGGTCGAGGCCGCCAGCCTCACTTCCTGTTCCGTGGAGGGAGGGGAGGAGCTTGTGCTGAGCGGAGCCAACTTCCTGCCGGAGTCAAAGGTCGTTTTCATCGAGAAAGGACCAGGTAACACCGAGGTCGCCGACTGAGAGGGAGGAGGGGGAGGGAGGCAGGTAACAGTGAGACTGCAGAGGGAGAGACAGGTCGCAGTGAGACTGTAGAGAGAGCGAGACGGGTAACTCTGAAACTGTAGAGAGAGACAGGTGACAGTGAGACTGTAGAGAGAG